TATGTTGAAAATTCTATGAACGTGACATGAAATTTGCTAGAACGTTTCGAAGGGAGGAATATATGTCCGATTTAAATTCTTTCCTGTCAAATTACATATTTTTTCTACTATTTCTTTCATTTCTCCTGTTTACTATTCACTTTTTTTCTACAGATGGTGGCTTCGCTTTCTTTTATTGACCAGCCATTAATTTTTATCAACAGTAATTTCATTTCGAAGTTTCAGCTCCTAGAAAGATTAAATGACAACAGATTCGGCCTGCTTTCTGCAATTTGTTAAAGAGAATACTGCGTGTTTCACCACTCACGCAAAAGCAAGCAAGATTTTGTGAGTACTTAACATTCAGTGATTGTCCAAATAGACATTGATTTTTTTTCCTTTCAGCTTTCCACTTCAAAGACCCGTTATTCAAATCCTCAAACTTCTCTAACGCAAAAACAATATCTTTTATATTGCAGCGTATTAGCAAATTGAAAATCAATGAATGCCGCTATTTGTGTCGCTTTTGGCAAATTATATGAAATCAATTCTTCCGTACGAAACTCTTTGGCAATCACTGATAATGCAGACTCCTACCAATAACCCAACTACTGTAACAATGAAAGAAGATTAATTCGCTGGTCTATTGCCTTCCTAATGTTATTTCTCTTGATTATATTTTAATGATTATAAAGAACCATGCCATGCAGATCATAATTATCTCTTTTAAAGTTTGCAGACTATCTTTTGGCACTATAGTACATCTTATAGAACTTCGTTAACATCTCTTTTTGCAACTATTCGATTATTTCTATGCAATGCATTAGAGTCCTTCACTATGGATCAGCATTTTAGCTTTTTCGTTGCCTTCAGTGTCTTCGTTTTCTGATTCATCTTCATTTTTATCTGCGTGGTGTTTCACCAGTGCAACTATTTCTGCATTATTTTCCAGTTTTCATTTGGTCCATTCATTCTTCCGCGCCACCATCAGTAACTTCTCAGGCTGGAATTTTCATAAGTAAGTCAATTTGATTCACAGTTTTCTGTCTGTTCTCTGTTTTCTTGACATTATTTCCTGAATGATCCAGCAACATTTTCTATTAGTAGGACTTGAAGTAGATTAGTAGGATTTTGAATACAAAGTTTACAAGGTATTTCTCCCGCCTTCTTAGCATGCCTTCGTGGTGTAATGGTCAGCACGCTCGGCGCGTATTCGAGAAGTCCGTGGTACGAGTCCTGGCGGGGGTATTGCTCTTTTTTTCAACTCTCCTCGTTTCGAAAATACCTAATGTCTCTACAATGGCGCCCGAATTAGAAAAGGTGGTGGATGATGATTCTCCACCACCGGAGTTTGGCAATTGGGTCCCCTAATCCCCTAGTTGCCCTTTAAAAGGGGAAGTATATAAGATATTTCTCCCGCCTTCTTAGCATGTCTTCGTGGTGTAATGCTCAACACGCTCGGCGCGTATTCGAGAGGTCCGTGATTCGAGTCCCTGCAAAGGCATTGCTTATTTTTCAACTCTCCTGCTTTCAAAATAGTTCTTTTTTAGATAATTTTATTCATCCGGAACAAAAAAAAAAATTATGGAACCAATCGTTAAATAAATGGCCAGTCATGTATGTAACGCGTTGTAAGAAAATTTATGCGTTTTTCAAACCGCGCTGGAGCGAAAACGCGTTGTAAGAGTACCGCGTTTTAGGGAGCCTAACTGTATTATGTTACTCTATTTTATTTGATTTATTATTTATAGATATATCGCAAGTTGCTCAAGAAATAATTAGTCGTCTAATTACCTTGAAATATACTATATATTGATTTTATCTTTCCTTGAAAATAACTTCTTAAGAAGATTCAAGAGAAAGAATAGGGAAATTAGTTTTGAATTCAATACCTTACTTTAATTCACAAGTACCATCTTCAATGCAACTGCGTTCATCAACTTAGAAATCCAATATCAATAATTTAATTTCAAATCGCATATTCTGTGTTTATACTTCGTATTACGAAAAATCGAAGTTAGATATTTCATTTGGATTTATTTTTATCCGGAACGTATTCGAGTATGTAACATAAGGATTCTGTTTCTTTTCAGAGTGGAGAATGACCTTTAATAATTCTTCCCAATACTTCTATTATCGATGATATCAAAACGAACTTCAATCGATAAATAGTGTTCTGAGTCAAATGAGAATATCTGTATCAGCTTTTATATATTTATATGCATTTATGTTGCTTTTATAATGTTCAATAAATTTTTGGAACTACGCTTCAAAGCTGAACATCAGCGCGTTTGTAGTATTACTGCAGTGGTATATCAATTCAAATGCATTTTGCTCTAATTGATTTTAAACTCAGTTGTATTCATTATCTTTATAGTTTTCCGATAGTCAGCTGCTCTTATAATTAGCTTTCAGATAATCATTTCTAACTGCTTTTTATTTATTGCATGGTATGTGTTATGGTAATTATATATCTGTAATTATTCATATAATATTTTTCAACCAGGGTTTCCTTAAGGATTTTGAAAAAGCAAACTTTCTTTTAAAAAAATATATCCGATAAAACTGTTTAATGAAATATTAAGTTTCATGTTGAATTAAAACAATTAATAGAGACTTAGATGTATACATAAATTATGAAAAACACAGATACTGAAATCAAAGAAGAAAAAATTAGCTTCATTACTCTTTTTCGTTTAATCGAAATCAGTTAACACTGAAAGGATTTCAGCTTGGAATATTCAGCCGTTCTGAGAATAAATAAATAAATTAATTAAATTATAAGAAATAAAAAAATCTGAAAGCTTTCATATTTTATATTACTCTTAAACAGACTTTTTTTCATTCAGAAACTTAAACGTTTCGAGAGCGTTTGGGCTAACGCCACATTCGGCTAAAAACATTTAAAAACAACATATCTTTAGAATTTCCGATAGACATACTCGCGCGCTGAAGGTAAAAATGTTTTATTCCCTACAGTGTTGTTAGTGCTCGCTTTGAAATTCTTGAGTTTTTTAATAAGGAATTCGTTAAAGTTTTACAAAATATGAAATAGACAATAAAACAAATTCCAGATTCCAATTTCAGGTTTCCAGGTGCCTATGTGCTAGTGAAAGATAACATTATTCAAAATTTGATGACTCGAGGTACTGTTCTTTTTTCTCAATGCAAGAAACATACATACCATCATGAAAATTCTTATTTAGTTTCTTTAAATAAAATACAGGGTGATAATATTTGGTGGCAACAATTTAAAGTGATACGCCGTTTGTAGTGATTCAACGCAAAATTCCGTTTCGAGACCCTTCTGGGCTAATACCAATTTGGGCAAAAATTTGCAATATGAATACTTTCGGTAACATGAAGATCCTTCAAATAATATAAATAATACATTTGACAAAGTATTAAAAATCAGGAAAAATCTGGAAAAGAAAAGGAAAAATCATGCTAAAATTTCTCTAAAAATTAATATAATTAAATTTTGAGTGTTTAATAAAATTAAAAACTAAAAAAACACTTTCAAAATTCTGTATCTTTCTGCATTTCTTTTCTGAACGTAAAATGGTTTAATAAGAGTATTACAGTATTAGCCACAAACCGTCCTACAAAGTGAAATATCCCCCCCTTCAAAGATAAACATATTCTGCATCTGAAATTCGCCTCAGAAATACTTCTTCCCCTTTCACCAACTGCCAAACCTGTGGGAAAAAAAAAACCTACATGTTTGTCACATTCAAAGATATTAAATACCGTCTTCTAGCCAGGAGAAATAATTCTTTTACTTTTCTTATTCTGTTATCTGAAAATTAACAAAGAGGATCTTCAAAACATACGATCTCATATGAGCAATAGTTCTAATGGAATGCAAGCTGAAAAGCGGAGGGAAGTGCATTCTTATTTCCCATCGTTTTAAGTATACTTTCGCCTGTATGTTTCTGACATACCCCGTAGTGACGGAACGTGACCAATCAAGTAACAATGACCTCTTTTCATTTTCGCTGTATTCTGGAGTTTGAAAAACACGAAGCTACGAGCGTCTCTCGGGGTTAACAATCAAGAATAAATTTAACTCTGACGACATTGCGTCGTTGCTGAGGTCTGATGACATTTTTCAAATCGAAGAATCTATGTCGGAGGAAATGGTTAAAAAAGAGAATAAAGGCAATCTTTATGTCATTACAAGACTTTCCCACCATTAGGCACTATACAGAAAGGAAGCATATAATAATTATTTGGAATACAGGGAAGGAAGCATATAATAATTAATAATTATTTGTTAATATTTTTTAATTTCTTGTCAAAGAGGTTCCGCAGTTTCATTTAATACAGGAAAAAAGTAATATTTTATTATCGCTATTACTTTTGAATCACTCTAATAATAAAATAGAGAATAACACTTTCTCTATTTCCGGGATCCCGACTCAGGGTGGTGACTAGAAGAAGAGACAACAGATAGAAACTGGAGCAGATAGAGACGGGAAGTATGTGAAGTTGGAATAAACTTGTCATGCTTCAGTATTTTCAGATAAATAAAATATTAAAAAAAAAGTTTTAAAATCCTTTCTTATACTTAGTGTTCACTTAGTCACTTTCTTATAAAAGTGACAGAGAAAAGGAAATTGTGTTATTTAATTTTTTTTCGCGCACATGATTAAAGCCTCAGTTAGTTTATTATACAAATTTTAAGAAGTAGATGTAAAATATGAACAGATAATTATGAATATCTATTATTAAAATAATCGTATTAGGCAACTTAAATGCTCAACTTTTAAGCATTTAGAGTTTGAAAAATAAAGATTTGTGTTACGTCGAATGTCAGTACCTTGGCAAATAGCTTTTCTACGTGGAACCTATGATAACGATCTCATCGTCGTATGCAATGCTAGATCCGATAGCTGATAAATGGCATGACAACGTAACGTACCCATCTCAAAATTTGGAGACGCTTCACTTATGTTCTTTCTAACGTCAGAATGTTATCATGTTTTGCTTTGTAACCAACTTATTCCTAATATATATTATTTTGTTTTTTAGTCGCGGATTTCACGCAGCAGCTGTCTTCAGTCCACGAGCAGCATGCAGAAGAGCTTCAAATGTTGGTCGAGACTTTTCGAAAGAGAAATGCTGAGCTACGCCGCGAAAGGTAAGCCATCAATTATTTTGTGTTTCGAGTATATATAACGGTATCTAATGGCTTAATGGTTACTTAATTTACTGAATGGTTACTTAATTTACTTAATGGTCCCGTAATTTACTTAATGGTTACTTAATTTATTTAATGGTTTACATAATTTATCTAATGGTTACTTAATTTACTGAATGGTTACTAAATTTACTTAATGGTCTCGTAATTTACCTAATGGTTACTTAATTTATTTAATGGTTTACATAATTTATTTAATTGTTACTTAATTTATTTAATGGTTACTTAATTTACTTAATGGTTCCTTAATTTAATTAATGGTTACTTAATTTATTTAATGGTTACTTAATTTACTTAAAGGTTACTTAATTTACTTATCACTCGCATAATTATGTAGACTGCGCAAAAAAAAAGGGGGGAAGGGAAAGGACAGTTCTATATCTTCGGTTCTATTGTGCCGATTGACGAAATTCAAAATGCGTTTTTCATGTCTCAAAAGCGCTACTTAGGATATATATTAGATTTATATATAGAGTTGTCCTAACATACGCATTTTGATTCAAAATCGGACTTTTTCTGAAATGACATACCAATGTTTTCCAATATTTCGATTCTACGACTCATATTATGCATAAATATTAAATTTTGTAATTTTTGGTGAGAAATTTACGGAGAAATTTAAAAATTTATCTTGGCGAATTTGTTTTCAGTTTACGACAAGAATAATTCACTTGCCGAATTACTTAATTTATAGCAACCTATTTTCCTTTCCTTTTCTTCATTGCAAACGAGCGGATAAAAAGTCATCGCTCATTATCTCAAATAATTTTAACAAAGTGCGTAAACCACATTTTTCTTATTATCGCTTATAATAAATACGCCAAATTTCAAAACGTGCCCAAATGCAAATTCACGTATATCTTAGGAAGTTTTGAATAAAAAGTCTAATGTTTTGCAGGTAAACGAAAATAGGATGCTATAAATTAAGAAATTCGGCAAGTGAATGATTCTTGGCGGAAACTGAAAACAAAATCGGCAAGATAAATTCTTAAATTTCTCCGTAAATTTCTCGCCAAACATTACAAAATTTAATATTTAGGCATAATTTGAGTCGTAGAATCAAAATACGGGAAAACATTGGTATGTCACTTCAGAAAAAGTCCGATTTTGTGTCAAAATGCCTATGTTAGGACAACGCTATATATAAATCTAATATATATTCTAAGTCACGCTTTTGAGTCACGCACATGAAAAACGCATTTTGAATTTCGCCAATCGGCCCAATAGAACGGGAGATATAGAACTGCCCTTTTTTTTTCCCTTTTTTCTCAGTGTACATAGTTATGTGAGTGATAAGTAAATTAAGTAACCATTAAGTAAATTTATGGTAAAACTTTTAGAGGTTATAATTAAAAACTTTACTGAAAAGTGTATAAAAATTATTATAAAATACAAATTTTTAAATAAATAATAAAAAAAAATGTTCGAATTTTAATTGGAATGAATCTGAATCTCGAAATACGAAAGGATGAATCAAATAAGTATAATAAACAAGAAATATTAATAAATATATACCGTATTCAATTAACATTGTGGAGCTTAAGCTAAAATTTTGCGAACTAATCTTTGAAAACTACTCGTGCGATTTTTACAAAACTATGCAGTTTCGCAAGATTTCCGAAAAACTCAAAGCAGGATTCAGAACCGCTCAGCGTCTCATGGACTTCGCCGAGATTGGAAATTAGTCACGTGATGGAGAAATAGCATTTCAAGCACTCATTGCACGAGTAATCGTAGCGCAGCGGTAAATCTTACTTGGACCTTCAACTGCGGCCTGCAGCGCAGGTGTTGTATCTGTCGGTCTCATTTTGTACTACTCCTTGCATCAAGAACTCTTTAATCCAGTGATTTGTACCCTCTGTTATTGCACTGTCACTCTCACGTATTCGAAAATTGGCATCCTGTTACACGGGGTTAGCGATGAAACGCGAGGAGCCATTTTTGCGAAACTCTTCGAGTTTGCCTGAGTCGACCACACCTGACATTATTCTCACAGCTGATAAACAACTAGCTCCTCCTAACTCTTGCGAGCCCACCAGCGGCCGAGCGGTAAAGACGCTGAACACTGGTAGTTCGGTCCGAGGTTCGAATCCCGCGAACGGGCTGGCTGCATGGGCGTTTTCGTGGTTTTCCCCATGTGTAACGTGTATACGAGCCAGTTTCCCTTAGAAAGTCCTCCACGAAAGGCATCCCTCCCCTTAGGCAGATAGCCCTAGTGTGCTTTGCCATAATTAAATACACACACACACACTCCTAACTCTTGCACCCTGTTTGTATAACGTAGCACGAGGCGGATATAGGTTAGTAGGAGGCTTCGAGAGGAAAATCAGTTCGTTGAACTTCGATAATGTGATTTCCTGAATCTTCCAAAAAGTAGCCAAATGTGACTTCGTGACAAAACTTTTGCCGAAATCCGTATTTGGCTGTATGCTTAATTCCTATTTGGCGCAAGATATAGGCGCTTAATTGTCTATATCTCGCGTTCTATTTGAATTACTTTTACAATTTAAACGATAATGGGCACAGACTTGAAAGATTTACAATTTTATATAAGATATAAGCATTTATATACAAAACATGTGGCGACAAATTTGATTAAACACAAAATAAAACCAATAAATTTCACCCTAAAGCAACAAATAAACAAACAACTTGAGAAAAGTATTATATAATATTACAACAATACAGAAAAACATCAATATACTCAAAAAGTATTTAAATATGTACAGATATTTACAGTATTACTCATAATCATTTGAATATTCACAAACCTTTTACCATAATTTTGTAATTTAAATGAAACTTACGTATGTTTTTGAAAACTTTTAATGACTTATCTCTTTATTTATCAGATATCATAAGAGGACATACAATGTGTTCCAAAATGATAGACCTGTTATAAAATTTAGATATATCGGGAACCCTTCGTACTAATAAAGAAGTTTAATACCAAGCTAAAGTCTAATAAAAGATCTTCAGCATTTCATGTAATCACGTTGACAATTTCGTAGAACTAATTTGCTGTTCCGGCTAGAATAGTCCCAAATTATTAATGGCCTTTCAGTAAAATGTCCCAATTATTTATTTTCTATCACTGATCCGCCATTTTACACTAAGAGACAAAGTTTGTGATAAATGACTTTTTTAAGGAGGAATTTGAAATGATTCAGTGTGGGAGATGGAACGTAGGAACAATGGTGGTTTGATTAATTGTCTCGGAACAAGCTGTCGATTCGAGGCATTTCAGTGTTCACCGAGCGTTTTGATTACGTTGTTGCTAATTGTTCAAAATTAAATGAATTATTCACAAACAATAAATGTACTGATCTCCGCTTAGTGATGGCTTTGCGTTAAAAGAGAATGATTTGACGCTGAATGATTATCTCACTTGTAAATATAAGGAAAGTTATATATTTTCCAGTTTTCCAGCCGTAAATCTCTGTAAATCCATAATGTATTGTATTTTAAAAGACTGTAAAAGTTCCCCCTAAAAACATTAGTAATTACTTTTGTCTGACCAAATATCATAAGAAAAGTTCTTTAATGAAGTCGTGCTCGGGATCCTAGTTACAGAATGGAAATCGGGGGCAAAAACCTTTCATAAAAACTTTCCTTTTCTAATTCTTTACAATATTATAGATATCACCGACGCGAATTGTAAAAAAAATGAAAAATTATCTAATAATTTTTCACTTTTTTCATTCAAACATATTTAAACAAAAAATCTGATGTGTATACCACATGACTTCCTTGCACGGAATAATAAATTATACGCATTTTTTCTTGCATTTCATTTAAACTTATTGGATTGAATTAAATCTACTTCGTCGACAGCGCAAAAATGCACTCTTTAAAATTCACTATATCTGTTTAGCATAGCGACACTCTGGCGCTAGGTTCGATTAATATTTCATTCATATTATAACTCAGAATGCACAAAATTTATATCATTTGAAGAATTATCGAATCGTTGCCACATGATCCGATCAAATACTATAATAAAGCTAGAACGATGTAATAAAAGAAATTAAGCAAACAAAACAAAAAAGAAATAGTTTTCAGAGACGATTTACTATTCCTTATTCAATTAATTCAGTTCTCACTTCGCAACAAGGCAAAAATACATAAAAACTCAAAATATCCGTATTAAAAATTACAAAGTAAATCTTAAACACTTATTTTATCGAAAACATTCCAGAAAGGATTAAGCATGATTTAATTCGAAATAATAAATGAATGCGTTATCTTTGTTGTTGCGAAGCTTAGTCTGTCTAGATTGGCAACAAATCTACAATTCTGCTGTTTCAAATGTAAACAAATATGTCCATCATGTTATTTAAAACTTAACCGCACTTAAACAGCTTTTAAATTGCTGATGATGGTGCAAATATTGCTTCTAGATTTACGAAAGGCATAAAAACCTTAACCGGAAGATAAGAACAACATAATTCAATCATTTTTAAAGCAGAAAATTTACAATTTACAAACATATAAGAGTAAAGAAACTGAGATCGCTGAGGCGAATAACAGAGTGGATATATATATAAATATATTTATATATGTTTGGTGCGGCCGATTGCAACCAAAATACGAGGTGCACATCTACATGTTGTAGTAGTCCTATATACAAAATTTCAACGTTCCGAGGCTACTCGTTTTTGAGTTATACGAGATACTTACGTAGGTACGTACATACGTTCGTACAGACGCCACGAAAAATTCTCTTCAGAATTCATTTTAAAGCAGTTTTTTTTTTTTTTTTTTTAAAAGAGAAAGAGTCTTTTATTCCGTCATTACGTACAGATGTCACGCAAAAACATCGTTAAATCGCATTCGATAGCGGTCAAAATGGATATTTTCGTTGAAATATGCTGCCTGAAACTTTTCGCGATTACAGCACTTTCTTTTTACTTCGTACAAGGAAGTAAAAATACATTGTA